TTTAAAGTTAGGTTTATTTGTATGTTCTGGGGTTAAGTTTGGCGTCAGTTTTGCTGATCTTGATCTAGTATACATCATTGTTTAGGAGCCAGCTTAAGCCCGCCTCCGGGTGCGGGATTTTCTCACTGCGTTGAATATCTGTATTTGGCCTTGGGCTGTTTTCTGCTCTTTGGTCGTATTGTTGTTTCTTTGACTCGTTCCCCGTTTCCATTATTTATGTTAAGGTTTATAATTTGTTTGGCGCGTTTCTTCTACATGATATTATTCAGTGATTCTCGAAGTTCAAATCAAACACTAAGTTAAAGAGCATTGCAAGCCTAAAATTCCAGTTTGTGCCAAATATAAAGTAAAGGCATTTATGCAAGGAGGTTGACAAACCTATGTGTTTTGTACAATTCAAAATTTCATAAACAGAAACGGGATATATTATTGTGAAACGTACAATCGAACAAATTGAACAAACGCTTGACGGTAATATATTTACTTCACTGTAGATAACAAGGGTAAAGATTAGTCAATTTTTCCACTTATCTGATTGTTCTTTACTCTGACGGCTCCTTAATCCGGTGGCCTATTTGTACAAAAATTTAAGCAATGTAATCTTATCAAGTGAATTGGTAAACAAATTTCTTAGTTTTGATTTTATTTTTGGGGATGGATGAAATAAATAAGCACAATGCTACATATTGTTTTAAAGGGTCCAGTTACAACGCGGACATTATAATCATAGGAAGGTAACTCTTGATCAAATAGATAAAACCAGTGAAATAAGGAGTGCTGAAAAATAGAAAATATTACAACGCTAACTTTGTGGATTGACGCAAAATGGTTGCGAAATATCACGCAGTTTGCACATTTATGCAAATATTGCGCGATACATGGAACACAAATGTTTTCGAAATCAAGCAAAGATAAAAGAAAAATTCATGTGGCGCTAATACGTTGCCATACAAACGTGCATGCTTTCTTGGAACCCCTGTTAATAATATGTTGTTGTTTAACTTGTGTGATTATGACATCGCTGTGTTTTTGTAACGTTTTTTTAAAACATTTTAACGGATTAATAGGTGTTTTATAATCAAATGCATAATTTAAATATTTAGGATGTTTGCAATAAATTTTAAATACCGATATATTTATATTGTATTAAAAGCGATTGAATTCTACAGATCGATTAAAAAATGAGACATCATGCATGTTACTATATATTACAGACATCTCTTCCAGTGGAATATCATTGCAACAGTGAAAAATCGTTATTAGGAATATCTTACTAAAGAACATGGAATTCACAGCAAAACTTGGAATTCCATATTTATCTCTACATAATTCACGAAAGAAGAGATATTAGAAAATCAAGAATGCACCCTTCTCTTCTTAGGTATTGATATAACAAAGGACGATGAAAATCTCCCATCTTAAGACTGGATACCTTGACTTCACAAAAATCCATATGAAGAACGATATATACCCGGGTTGCCCAGTTGTTTGACTCAACATCTTTCCAAAGTTTTACCCACCGTTCTTTCTACAGTAAAAGTCGGCCTTCAGAAATATTGTGATGAGGTATGTCATTCAACCAAAGGTGTTAATAAGATATGGATTCTTAAAAATTCCGAAGATCCCGAATCTGCAATCACAAACTTTACAATGTTGTAGAAATATCAAAACCTTTTATTTTGAAATGCTTTAAAACCAGGTTCAATCCACCATTTTCTACATAAGAAAATGCCTGTACCAAGTCAGGAATATGACAGTTGTCGTCCATTCGTTTGATGTGTTTGTGCTTTTGATTTTGCCATTTGATTAGGGACTTTCCGTTTTGAATTTTCTTCGGAGTTCACAATTTTTCTGATTTAACTTTTCACTTGTATTCCCAATTTTCAACAGACCTTTGTCTACAAAAACGGGAAACATAGATACAAATTCCTTATTTTAGATAATAAAAAATCTGACTTTGTGAAGAATCATACTGATTTTAATAATAAATACACGGAAGATGATATCATCAAAAATGCTGGACTTTTTGATTGACAACATATTTGTTGAGTTTGGTGGATTGATATTCTAACGTACTTTTATTCCGGTGTGTAGATTTTGCGATTAGTATATTAAAACCAGTGATGTCTTTCAGGAAATAGTGCGAAACAGGACAAACATAGAGTTTTTTTTTTAATTTTCATTCTCGCAGGTATTTGTAAAACTGTCTTCGACATGCACTAGGCAGTTTCATGCCATCAAATGGTGTCTGTCATTGTCTTATTTCCTTGAAGAATAACTTCAGTCAGAAGCAGATATGAATCATTCTTTGTTTATTTCTGTATATTTTTTCAAAATGTTACACTAGTGTATATCAAAAACATGAACATATATGTTTACATGCTGATTTTGATATTTTTTAAACCCCCTCGTCCTCCCCCCAGAAAACCCTATTCCCATTTGTTTTAATAGTTCCCCCTCAATAAACCATTTTAAGGGTGTTTTGGAAACACAACTAAACAAAGGATAGTTTACAGAAAGCATGGAAAAAGTAAGATAGTGCAATAATTCATCTGGTAATTATACACAAGTCTAACCTCTGAAAAATGTCGATTAGCAATTGGTACTAATTGTGCACTAGTACTGGCCGACTTTGTTTTGTATACAGTTCAAGTAGAACTCACACAGAACCTCTTCAAAGACTAAAAGAAAAGGCATGTTGCAAAGTTCTCTAATTTCATTTTCAAATATATTGATGATTTTCTGTCACTCAATAACTCACATTTCAGCGAGTGCTTACGTCTAATATATCCTAGTGAACTTGAAATTTAGGATTCTACCGAAAAAGAGAGTCTGCTCCATATCTTGATCTTTTTCTCGATATTGACACTCATGGACGACTTAAAAATAGAATCTATGACAAACGTGATTATTTCAACTTTCCATTTCTCAGCAGTAACATACCCTCTGCAACATCGTATGACGCTTTCATATCTCAGTTAATACGTCACACTAGTGCATGGTCACACTATAAGGACTTAATTAAAAGGGGGAGCTCCTTACACAATAAATGCTCCAACAGAGTTATGAGGAATAACGAATGAAATCAACACTACATAAGTTTTATGATCAGCATCACGATTTGGTTGACCAATACGATTTGTCGATGTCTCAAATCACTAGCGACATATTTTGGGGGTCTTAAAACTTTACAGATACCAGTATAGTCGTCTGATTTGTACTTTTACCGACTGTACCAAATCCTCAATTGAGACATTTGGAAAGTGTGCGTTCGCATGAGGGGTGATGCATAACACTGTCAACGTATAGGTCTAGCTTTTTTTGCAGTGCATGCAATTCCGTAGGATTTCGTTTGTTACCTAGATTGCTCTCTTCCTTATCAATTTACAAGATTTGACACATCGGAAAACTACTATCGTCCTCATTTATATGTTCTTTTTTTGAAAGCCCCGTAGTAAACATGATTAAGTGCGATTGTCTAGGATATTAGACTTAGATATAATTTGTTTATTCAAAAGTTATTCATCACGCCATTTGAAATGAAAAGAACTCGATATGAACCATTTTTAATCCAACCTGTCTTAAATAATGTAGCATACACATTATAATATATGTATAACTAAAGATAAAGATGATATTTGCGGTAAACATTTGATGAATGTGTGTTTTAACATACAATACATTAAAAACGTAGACTAGTTAGATACTACTTTTGTCGATCGTGATGAGGAAGTAAAGTAATTGGATTGACAACAACTAGTGTACAGACAGAATGACAAAGCAAAAATATGTAACGAACGTTATTGAAGTTTTAATTACCTTTTTGAGAAATTTATATGTATGTTTAATCGAGGTTTTCATGCAAGTTACCACGGTACATACTAGTACATCAAAATAAGAACACTTCTTGAGCATTAAAAAATCGCTTTCATCAGCATAATAGCAATGAAAAAGTCCAGCATGTTTTTCTGTTAAATCATTATTTTTGTTTGTTGTAAAACTATAACATGACTATAGTACCACAATGGTTAAAACACTTCGAAATGAGACAAATATTGAAGACACATCTAGAACAGCAAGAGCTTCTTCTTACTTGGATTAATATCTGCCAATAGACACAAAACTTTATGACAAAAATAGTGATTACTTTTTGTAAGCGCTGTACCTTCTTCGTCTGATCTTCTAATATATTGTATATAGAAATTATAACTTCTTCCAAGAGTTCATTTTAGATTTGTTTACCTATTAATAAATTCATGGAAAAATAAAACACATTATATTCTCGAGGACAACAGTTAATGATAACAAATTCATAAATCCTTCGTTAAGCAAAAGTAGTTGAATTAGCATGAGTTTTTCATATACCGGAGCTCGAGATAAGGCTGATATCCCCCTTGAATTCGAAAAATCTAAATATATCGTACATCTACAAAATTATGTTCTTCCGCATTTCATAAGCCATAAGTCAGTATCAGTAATGATAGTTTTAATGTTGATTAAAATTAAACTTCTCGAATTCTGTCCAAAACTGCAGAAATTACCGAAATAGCTTCGTTTTGAAATCTTGTCAGTAATGTTTAGATATGAGGCAATGCTTTACCTAAAAAAATATTTTATATCAAAATGTAATTTATGAAATGTTGATGAGTGTTAAATAAAGATTGAGTACAATATTAGCTCTTATCTAGTTTGTTGTAATGACTGATGTGTATATTTCTATATCAAAAATGTCCATTTTAACATTGTATTATCACAAGTATGCCAATGAAACAACTTTCAGGCGGAGACCACAAGACGTGGATTTAAGCAATTATAGGACACCATACGACCTTTAATAATTTAAACGAGAAAACCGCGGACTTGATCATCAAACAATACACTGAAATTCAAAATGACAGATAGCAAACAACGAAAACCGGTGAATTAAATGTTCCTGACTAACGACGGACACCTTTGACTGCATTAATATATGGTAAAATTAAATAATAACAATGATCATAAATACTTTAGTTTTATTTGGTCATGCTGATGTTCATTTAAGGAGTTCTGTAATTGATATTTGTCATTTACTTAATATGTATACCGAACAAGAGGTTTTTTTTCTAAATTGCATTGTTAGGCAGTGATCAAATGACGATATCCTCAGATCATTGGATTCGGTGGATCTGGTGGTGGTGGTGGCTGTGGTACAACTACAGCCACAACTGCATTCACGATGTTATCTAATTTTCGGAAAAACAAATCAGCCATTGTTTCGTCGATATCACCGATACCTGGATCAACAAAAATATAAGATATATTCAATGATAATTATTAGCATACAACAATGTTGACCCAAAACTCTTCATAATCATGAGATATATTCATAAATTTAAAATCGTTTTCCTTTTTATTACAGCAAAATTTTAACAAAACAATATCAGTATTTTGAATCCAGTACCAAACTACTGGCTACTAGACTAATGATTCCATCGGGTATAAATAGTTCAACAGATAATGATTCGACCCAGTGCTAGTATTATCAGGAGCAATTTTACTAAATGCCGTTTTGACAATTAACAGCTCTTCATTCATGATCAAGGTCATTTTTTTAAAATCCTAAGCCTTATACAAAAATATACATACCACTGGTATAGTTCAAATCCTCTGTAACAAAAAAAAATTATATGGTTTATGTTTGCAGTTCATTTTAAACACATTTAGTTATATGTTCTGCAAAATTTTGTTCGTTGTGATCAGTGTGCTATATATGATTACATATTATAAGTTATATGGTCTGTTACTGACCCCCTACGAGTTCATAGAGGGTAAGTAGAATTCATAGGGGATAAGGCCGAAGGCCGAATTCCTTATGTATATTACTAACACTCTGTGGATACGTAGGGGGTCAGTAGTTAATCGTATTTTATCGCAAATGGGATTTTTCTAGCCAAGTTTTGTGTAAAAATAAACAATAAATTACAATAACAATGATAGGCGACGTCACCATTAATAGAAGACGTGACGTCGCGAACCCTATATGAAATCTATTGACAACCTGACGTTTTAAACCAATCATAACGTCACTTATTTATCTGAGGTGCGATAAATACTACTAGTCCAAGATTGTGTTTACCTCTGAAAGCCTTTATTAGGACTTGGGTGAGTCATGGCACGCCAGAGCATAGCCAATTTAGAAAACATACAAATTTCAGACCCAGGCTTGGGTGGGGTGGGGTTAAACATGTTTGCTGGCCCCAAACCCTACCACTAACCTGGGACAGTGGTGTAACAGTACAACATAAGAACAAAGAAAAAAAATATATTAAAAAAGGGCTTAACTTACCGGATCGATAAAAATCAGAAACAATCTTACAAAAACACAGATCGTTTGAGGCAGGAAATTTATACGTCCCTAAATAACATAAAAGACACAAAATACAGATCTGTGAATACTCACAGTTACTGACAGCTAGTTCAAAGCCAATAACCAATAAAAAATTTCTCGTATTTAACATGTTTAAGACTAAAACACATTTGTAAAAACCAGTGCAAACTCAACATCCAATGGATTTAGTGTAAAGACGTCATTACCGTCAGAGAAAAAACATGACCTTGTGCCATGCCAAAATATAGGTATCGACAGATTATAGAACCATGAATGTGCATATGTACATAACAATAATTTTTAGCATGGTTTTAGTTTACTGATAACAAAATAAATATTTACGGTAGCACAATACAAAGATTTTATACCTCCAATTCCCCAGTTTTGAAATGCTGTAACTTTCTTTATAATGCTTGAAAATGTATAAAAGTGGTATTTATGGATAGCTTACAGATTACTCTTTCAAATTAATGCAATGTTAGTATTATACAACAATTATGTAATCAATTATAATGTTAACTGTGTCTACAAAATTTTACAAGAAATTTCCACTTTCAATTGAAATTAGCTTCTTCATGGATACCCCGAGAAGGTTGATTTTATTATATGTTGTTCCTAGAGCCATTATCTACAAAAGAGTGTCTCAGATTTCGGATAGAATGTATAGATCAAATTTTACACCTAATCAAACATTATCTACTTTTATGTGGTAAGGATGTTTACACTAATTACAGATTTATGAGAGAATGGAATACGATAGCGATAATTTGAGACACTCTTTTGTAGCTCCTGCTGTGTTGATTAAGATTTCGTTAAAATATCCTGTATAGTTATAGAGATGATAGAGCTAAATTCATTCCAGTGAACTGACCAAGATTTTGCCATTAATTGCATAATAATTGATTACATAATGATTGCATAACAAAAATATTGCATTCATTTAAAAGATTAATCTTTTATCTATCTATATATACCTCTTTTATTAATTTATATGCAGTCTTAAGAAAGTAACAGCATTTTAAAGGTTGGAGATTGGAAGTAAAAAAATCTTTGTATTGTGCTACCTTAAACGAATAAAACAATGTTCAAAGATCTAATTACAGTGTTGAATTGGTAACGTTTTGGAATACGCTTATTTAAATGATAGATAAGTTTACCCGGGTCTTATCTCAATTTCTGGGCTCGGTAAACAAAATCACTATAAATATTAGGATGGGCAGTGAAATCCCGTTTGAAATAAGTTTTCGACAGGTACAGCCTTCATAAACAGTTACAGAATTACATAACCTTATCCAATCCCAAATATAAGACACAGCAGGATGTAGGACCATGAGTGTAAGATAAGTTTATTCATAAGAATGAATAGCTTAACGTGGATCAAATTGATAGGTTCTATAAATGAGATCACCATATTATTAGGATGGTATATTCCTTTTCTAAGAAACTTAAGGTAACGTGAAATTACCAAGCTTCATATTTAATTTTTATCTTTCAAAGAATTTAGTAAAGTTTTGAAGTTATTTATGGTAATGAAATACCTGACTAATTTCTAATGATTATGCATAGCGTACGTTAATTTAAATCCTAAACTTCATTACAGACATGAGATCAGCGACAAAAAATGGAAATATAAACATCACCGTCCAAAGAGAAAAATTAACAAAAAGGATATCAACAATTGTCTCTCTTGACTCATGTTTTAAAGCAATTCACGTGAGAAACTGGAATATCTAAATCTTGGAAAGGACAAGTATAATTTCATTTAACTTCCGTTTCCGAAGAACTGTCTGAAACTTATAGTCTAACCAGCAGTTAAACCGTGAGTTATTAAAACAATGTACATGAACACATTATCATGTTTTAAATGTGAAAATATACGTAATGATTGAATATTCTCTGAATATTGGTCTGATTATGCACATTGAGTATTTGTTTGCATATAATAAAAATAAGGTGATGAAGTATGATTGCCAATGAGACAACTATCCACCAAAGTTCAAATGAAGTGGATGGAAGCAATTATAGGCAACCGTACGGATTTCAACACTGAGAAAAATCCATACCGTAAAGTCGGCTACAAAAGTCCCCGACATATGAAACAATTCAATTGAGAAAACTAACAGTCTAATTTATAACAAAACAATTAACGAAAAAAAAATATGACAGACATGATTTAACGACAACCACTGAACTACAAATTGAATTTGCAAACATATCTTTTTTTTCCCGTTTCTTTTTATGTTGTTTTGATTTATTTCTGTTTACGTTTAGCTTAAAATGTTTTTATTACCTTAACGTTCACTGTTCGTATTTTCATCGTTAAATGTGTGTATTTATAGGACAAAATGCAAATATTTATTTAATACAACGAATTATATGAGTGTGGTATTTCTATTCATGTTATCCCTTTGTATGTAGTTATGTACATTTTGAACTGAGTTTTACTGTGCGTATTGCTATGTGTTTCTTTTTTCTACATTGACTAAAGGTATAGGGGGAGGGTTGAGATCTCACAAAACATATTTAACCCCGCCGCATTTTTGTGCCTGTCCCAAGTCAGGAGCCTCTGGCCTTTGTTAGTCTTGTATGTTTTTTAATTTTAGTTCATTTATATGGTTTGGGGTTTAGTGTGACGTCCATTTTCACTGAACTAGCACACAATTTTATTTAGGGGCCAGCTGAGGACCACCTCCGGGTGCGGGATTTTCTCGCTGCATTGAAGACCCATTGGTGGCCTTTGGCTGTTGTCTGCTCTTTGGTCGGGTTGTTGTCTCTTTGACATATTTCCCATTTCCATTCTCAATTTTATTTCTCACTTAGTCAAACCTGTATTTTTCATCATACAGATTCTTTAACGAATTAGGCAGTGACAAGCAAAATTATATTACAAACTCATTTGTACTTAAGTTATTTCATAGGTCAATGAGCTAAAATGCCAATAAACAGTACTTTTATGTTCATTCCTGAGAAATTTGTCGGAGAAATTAGTTATTTCTACTATTTTACTTAAAACTTACCAAAGCTTTTTGGTCCTGAAAAAAAAAGAATATTATTTTTGAGATAAATCATACAAAAAAAAATGGCAATTATCTGTGTCTTACTGATTTAAGGCTACAGACATGCGTATGATATTACATATATGATTAATCCTGTTATGCAAAAGTTATAAGAGGGCATCGTTCTTATAACTAAAAAAGAGAAAGTCCAATTTTCAGTATTTTCCTTCTGAAGTCAGAAACTATTTTAATTTATGTAATTGAAAACACGTATCTTTTCACCCTGCGATTGAACATATAGAAACACTCAGGAAAAGAACGATGCCCTCTTATAACTTTTGCATAACAGGATTAATAATATATGTAATATCATACGCATGTCTGAAGCCTTAAATCAATAAGACTCAGACAATCATTAGTGTTTATTTAAGACCTTCAATACAATATAGTGGTATTGTATCCATTTAGAGAGGTGTTGTTTTAGTAATCTCCTTCAACTGGTACCATCGTACTGTTCAGTTTTTATTTCTATACAAAAGACAAAATGAAATGTTGATAAGAAAAACGTACTGGCAATTCCAATACTAATGTTTTCCCGTACCAAGTCAGGAAATTGCCATTTTTATATTATAGTTCGTTTCTGTGTGTGTTGCATTTTAGTGTTGTGTTTCTGTTGTGTCGTTGTTCTCCTCTTATATTTGATGTGTTCCCTCAGTTTTAGTTTGTAACCCGGAATTGTTTTTTTCTCAATCGATTTATGAATTTCGAATAGCGGTATACTACTGTTGCCTTTATTTTCATCAATAAATAATTTCTCCGATTTCAGAGTAAGTAGAAATCATTCAGATGTTTAATTGTTTCCGAAATTCAATCTAAAGAAGTAAATTTTCATTTAACTTATTCATATGTTATGTTTAAAGCAACTGAACTCTACAAAAATAACTTGTTAATAAAAGGCATCGGGTTAAAATATTGCTCTGTGATTGGGAAGAACATAATGTTATTATATCAGTCATTTATTTTCTATATTTTCATTGATATGGTTATATTAATGAATTGACTTTTACAAAACTTTGAATTCTTCGAAAGGATTTTCGACATAAGAAAGATATATCTGTTCCCTTCTTGAATTTGCCTTAGGGTTTTATATTTTTGTTACACTTTTTTTTAACCTTAGCTGTATTTATCAAAACCTTTCGGGTTTTGGTTTTTGGATTTTTTCCGAAAACATGGACAAATGGAGTCAATTTTGATATTTTATATCAGTATTAGTATTGGAAAGAAGCCTGAACTTGGTCGTTTACAGTTATGATTGTTTATCCGGAACTGCAAGGGTGAAATTTGCAACATACACAACGTTCATTCACAATAGGATACGTCTTTTCATCTTAGTACATAGCATAAATATTTGTAACGTCAAAGATTTCGAGAAGTTCGATAGTTACACCATGTACACAATGCATTTGCAAAATGTAAGCGTTCAAAGAGTATACATAATAATTCGAAAACAGCCTGTACAATCTACACCATATCTCTTTTTCCTTATAATTTGAAAAATTAGTTCCTTTGATATATATATAGATATTATGATTACTAAAAAACAATAAAAGAAGTATCATGTTTAATGTTATGTCTTACTACATAGTAGATAGATTCTCACATGAAAGCACCAAAACCAATAAACAAAAAGTAAAATCACAAAAATACTGAACTCCGAGGAAAATTCAAAAAGGAAATTCCCTAATCAAATGGCAAAATCAAAAGCTCAAACACATCAAACGAATGGATAATAACTGTCTTATTTCTGACTTGGTACAGGCATTTTCTTATGTAGAAAATGGTGGATTAAACCTGGTTTTATAGCTAGCTAAACCTCCCACTTGTATGGTAGATACATAATAAATAAATAAAAATCAATCAAAGTAAATCAGAAAAAGAAAACCATCAAAAGAGTATAACTAATTCCCGCCATGTCGATAAAGGCCGTCTTATGATGTATTAAGGCATGTTTTAATCATAATTTTTCTGAACGAAATCCGCCTTATGTAATATTTGTCTAACATTATAAACTTAATTTATGATAGCTAGATAGGTTTATTTATATATCAGGTAATTTTATTACGTTAAATAATGTGAGTAGGCCAGAATTCGTATTGACTACACATCCGTTCATATCAAACATAAATATGCATACTTACTTCTTTTTTTTGGTAAGGTTGCATGTATCAAACGAGCAACTGCAAGTCCTAAGCCAATAACAACTGTAATTTCAAGCACCCCTTTGATCATTCTGACTGTTCTGTATTTTTTGAAAAGTAAAGAAGTTAAGTCTATATCAGAAAAGCGCAATCAAAGTCTTTTGTCTTTTGTATATTGTCTCGATAAATCTCCTTTCATTTATAGTAACGATCAAGAAAACTTACAAAGATAATGATTATTTAGATACTATTGATTTCGGTGAGAAGCTTGCTTGTTCGTACTGGTAAATATCTTTAGATATGAATGAAAAGTGATCTAAATAAGGCGACAGTAATTTTCAGATTTCAAATCACGTAAATTGATGGGGAAGAGACAATGTATCTATCAACGAGACAGTCACCCAACACAAAAAATATTCAATAGTGAAATATTGAAATCGCCGAGAGATCCGACAAGTTAAAGATAAATATGTATCGATTATTGTAAGAATTTCAAAGTATTGAATTTTACTAAGGCAAATTGGTGCGATTTCTTCACAAGTTAACTAGATTGGAACTGACACGTTCATTTTGATATAAAGAGGTCTTACAATATTAAACAATAATTTTTTTATAATTCAGTCTTGAACAAACCTAACGAATCAACAAAACAGGTGAAGTGACAGTTAACCCTATGACGCTATAAAATGAATATAAATGTAAGTAATGGTTGTGAAGAGGCACAGTTTAAATCACATTTGTGGGGAATGATTACACAGGTAGATTCGTGACGTCATTGCATAGTAACGTAATTCAAAGAAGTGACGGCATCTATTACGTCATACATCAAGGGACCGGAAATTAGTTGCGAGCATTTGTGGCCAGATAGGTGTACTGTTCATGCGTGACGAGAAGTCACGTGACCAAAGCTGAGTTATGGAAGCCACAATCGTTAATTATTACTGAAAAACGAACCATCTCTGCATTATTCAACGCCTTTGTGATACTTAACGTTGATTCATCTAAACCAAGATGGATTTTAGTTTAATGAAAAGGACTTAATCTTTATTAACCGAAAATTATTCTGTTTAGTGTGAAAATTGTCTCTTCACAGTAACAGTTGACAAAACATTTATTTGAAAAGCTAATAACTGATTTTATAAAGTAGTTTAACTCCGAACTATAGTTTTTGGCAAATATCATTATTCGCAAGCATATCATTTTTTGTCGTCTGTCCAAGTATTATCTTGAACACCGAGTGTTTAACTTTGACCAACTTGTACGTTACAGGTATACACATTTATGTACTAACCGTATTTTTTTTCCGAAAACTGTTTTGTCAAGTTTTCTCGATGTTGTGAATGATGATATTTTTTAAAACTTGTGTAACTATAAAACTTGGCCTATAAATTTGTGCATTTAATGTGAGTTTTTACCTCTAGATGATTAGATGTATATACCATGTCCAATTTTCTGTGATAAAATATTTATTATAAGATTACAAGTATTTGAATTTGACATGTTTGGTTACATACAGAAACAACTATTACGTAGTACAGTTTTATCAAGTGGATACCTTAAGCTTGTTTTAAATGGCTTGTCACTTGTACATTTTTTCCAAGAAAATGCCTGTACCAAGTCAGGAATATTGGTATTAATACAGTAGTTGGTATATGTCAACAACATATGTCAATGAGTAGGCTTCATATTTCTAATCAGTACATTTCTAAAGGTACAACATCTCATGTGAATACGTTTTTATTATCATCAAGGGAGGTTACTTTACTTCAAATTCAATCTTCTACACTTATTTCAAAGTCATATGAAACGATTTTCTTGAAATTATAATATTACGGAAACTTTTTAACTAATGCATATATAGCTACTAAACTAAGTCCTTTATAGACGATTTTATACTTTTATTACTAATCAATGCCATATAATCGACAAAAATATTTCATTGAGTGAAAACTTTCCCTGCTAATTAACTTTCGAAGTTTACCAAACTTGACAATAATAAACAATGAACACAGAGTCATGGAACACGCAATGCAATCGATGTTTTCGTACGTTCAATTCATTGCTATTTGTTAATTAAGCTTTGTCATAACTGTTGTTGAATGATTTGGTGTATTAAAATTAGACTTTTTGAATCAATTAATACTATCTAACTTACACCTTTTTTTACCTTTTCTTTTATCACGTTGTTTCCATTGCATATGCGCTGTGCAGTTGTCGAAGTACTAAAGAGAAGTCACTGCATGCGGGAACAAATGTATAAGGGAATTATAATACGGGAAGACAATTAGTGAATAGTAGTACATTTCTGAAGATTTTGATAAGATAAAGAATTTTCGTTAAAAACAGAGTATATGTTCATGTGTTTTATAGTAAAACTTAGCCATTCAAGTATATTAGATATATTCAATTTTTTTTTAATTTGAAGTATCATATGACTTTAAAATCATTATAAAGAAAAGTTATACTTTACCACTTATTTTATGCTATAGGTTATAGAGTTAATGTTGGCTCAAAGCCTTCAACACAAAGAAATATAAACACTTCTAACTAACGATCTGCAATAACGGACAAATTTATCTACAACCTTTCAAAAACAGCAGTGTAGAAAAGGCGATTCATTATGTAATAATGAAAATAGGCGAAAAAGTAAGTGTTAGGCGGTAATTGTAGTAATTTTATTAGAGTTATGTTTCGAAATAATCGCATTCAGTGTTTCGTAAGATATGCGTGCATGTGGTGTATAAATACTACACATTGTTAAAGGCCGTACGGTAACCTATAGTTGTCATTTGGTCTCTGGTGGAGAGTTGTCTCAATGGCAAAAGAGGGACAAAAGATACCAGAGGGACAGTCAAACTCATAGATCGAAAACAAACTGACAACGCCATGACCAAAAATAAAAAGACAAACAGACAAATAATTGTACAGACGACACAACATAGAAAACTAAAGACTAAGCAACACGAACCCCACCAAAAACTGGGGGTGATCTCAGGTGCTCCGGAAGGGTAAGCAGATCCTGCTCCACATTTGGCACCTGTCGTTTTGCTTATGTTATTACAAATCCGGTAAATAGTCTAACTCGGTAGGTCACATTCCACATTTTCTTTTTTTATGTTACTATGGAGAACTGTCGTGGAACCATCAAGAGGATGGCATATAAGAGAGTGTGAGAATGTAATAAATAGTTTTTTCGATAGTAATGAAACACATACTAGTTGGTATCAAAACCAAAAGTAGAAAGAACGAAATCTTTCTTTTATTTACGAATGTGTATTGAAGTATATGAATATGTACATATTGATTCACTAGTTTAAAGTCATCAAATAATTGTTACATTAGAGATTAATATTGTGTTAGTTGTTTATATTTAAAATGGATTTTACACAGATACACTACCAAATAACAATCTCCCCCGAGGACAATATCCGCCTAGTAGCCAATTCTGTAGATTATGATATATATGATACATTTTGTAATACAATTTAAATAATTGTACTTACACTTTAGTTGCGACTTCCTTATACACAACTAAGCGTTTACATGTATGGCAGTTAAAGTAAAAGTAAATGTAAGAGTATTTGTTTTCCTGGTATGTTTTCCGATATGCTAAATATCACTAGAAATTTTCATCCGTAAATTTTGTGATAGAGACTTATTGATGTGTACTCTGTTTATTTATGCTTATTTTTTACAGTATTAAGTTGACAAGTAACGAGTGTCCGAATGGGGTTTACATCCGAAAACCATTCTTTCCATTGATTCCCCTCAAGAAATACTCTCATTAAATTGTTACATGCATACATTTTCTAAGAGCAGAAATACCCAAGGGTAAATTTCTTGATGAATTGTACATTAGGATGATGTTTCCTGTGGAATAAATCCAAATGTACAAGTAGCAAATTTTAACTTTTGAAAACATACGTCTTATTGATGAAATTTTTAAACTATGGAACAATATCTAGTTGTGAAGGTTTGGGAGAAATCTAACATAGCTGAGTAAAGAAAAAAAGGTGGATGCATTGAAAAACTATATCATCGTAGTTAATAAGGTAATTATACGGACAAACGAAAAACGAAGATACAAAAGATGATACCGATATTAGCGTGGGAGCAAACCACACGAAAACAGTGTGTGATCTCAGAAGCTTCAGAACAGTTAGTTATTCCTCCTCCGGTGATGACACTTGTTTAACTCATGTAAGAAACGTTAAACAGTCGAATTTGGTAGATAATGCATAACAAATAAACTCACCATAGGTACCAGGATTAACATTTTGTACGTCAGACGCGTGTTTTGTCTACAAAAGAATCATCAGTGACACTCGAAAAGTTAAAAAGGCCAAATAAAGAGCAATCAAAGTTGAACAGCATTGATGACCCAAAATTCCGAGCCGTTTTGCAAAATACAGCTAAGGTAACTGTTCCTGGGGTAGAAAATTCCTAATATATCGAAATATTCTAAGTTTTGTAAATAGTTATTTAATAAAAGAGAGATGATAGGTACCAAATTGACATTCAAATTGGTAACTCATAAGTTGAAAACAAACTGACAATGCCATGTCAAAAAACAAAAAACAAAAAAGATCAAATACAAACAACATTATACAAAACACAACATAGAAAACTATATACTGAGCTACGCAAACCCCACCAAAAACCGGAAGTGATCTCAATTACTTGGCTTGGCCAGCAGAGCTTTCTCCACATGTGACACTAGTCGTGTTACTTTTTTAAACAACGTTTATAAGTAATATTAAGTCCTAAGGTATTACAAAATAGCGGATTGATATTTGACACTTATCTCATCACCAATTTTGTGAAGCATCGGTCATGTAAATTTTCTAACCCTAAAACTTGATCGAATGGGGAATTTTGGAATTAAAGCACAGATAGACAAGACTGTTACCGGTATAAACGACACGGACATTAAAAAAGAAAAAGAACAACACTTTTGATAAAAAGCGGACGAGAGAAAGGCTGTGACAATAGAAACATATCCGTGATCATTTGTAACACCAATTATTAGATGAATATTACAAAACTTTAAAAAAAAATGTGCATGTATCAAATGACTGTAAACAAATTATTCTGAGAGTGCCATATCGTTTAACCGACCATACTAGACCGGCATTGGTAGTTCAGGTCATCGATAAACCATGAAGTAGTAGTATGATCCATGTAAGGATTTCGCTCCTCTGTTTCGATATGAAAGACTGTTATAGATTGATAGTATATAATTAAAGAAACTTAAAAAGCAGAAAAAATGAAAGGTCCGTGTCCTTGTTTTGGAAAAATAATCATTTGAAAATGTTGCGGGAAATGATTCTCTCTATATTTTTAATACTTTTAACATTGACACCCTTTTTCTTTTATAAACTATGAAAAAATAACAAAAATTATATAAGATTTTCAAAAATGACTTTTTTTTAATTATATGTAATAAAATTATGAAAAGAAAAGTATGGGTTAGATGGCAAAAATTTTATAAGCACTACATGAATAAAACTAGAGGATTATGAATATTTGATAGAAAGTCAAAAACAAGAGTAGCGAACATTCTTAATTGTTACTCAACATTTTACATTTTTTGTTAAAGAAATCGCGTGCTAAAAGATATGCTTTCAGTATTTCCGTCTTGACGATCGAATAAAAGATGTTAGTTTTAAAAGAGCCAAATAGAGTACAAAATGGAAGATCATTGAGGATTCAAAACTCCGCAAGGGTTTTCCAAATACAGCTAAAGTAAAATATTCTTGGGGTAAAACATACTTAGTATTTAGAAAAAGTCTAAGCAGTCCTCTCACTATACATGTTATACAAAACGGTGTGTCTCAAATGAAATAAGTAATAAACGTTCAATGCGATATGACTGGATTATCAGTTAACATACAGCACATTAGGATGTAAAACAAAAATAGCATGAGTATACACAATTGTCAGTTTCATCAGGTCGTAGGATGTCTAATATATAAAAAAAAATACAATATTATAATATGATCGGCGCGTTTCGTTTGCGCGAAAATTTTCCACTTTTTCACGACAAAACCCATTACGTTTGATCGAAATTTACCAGTTCAAACGTTATGTTTGCACAGATTATTTAGATTTTCTATCTTTCAAGTAATTATAACATCGGAGAATGATATATAATTCCATAACATCATGATTTCTTGAATAAGACCAAATACTGCAGATAAAAACAAATAAAAATACAATGAAATGACATTTTGAAAATCGACATTCAAGATTGATTCTAACAAAAAGAAGAGTCCTTGATATTCATTCCGTGTAGATAAAAGTCTAGAGTTGAAATTGAAAATAGAAACATTTTCTGGAGATAAACCAAGAAAATGTGCAAATATCGGATAAAAACTGATCGCGAATGTAAAGTTTTGCTGACGGGAAAATAGTGGGCACAATCGTGAAAGTGAAGATTGAAAATGAGAAAGACAATAAATCATACTGATTAAAACTGCAAGTTATTTATATTAAAACACGCGGTAGCGAATCCCCATCTTGTGAAACGTACAGACAAGGATAAAATTAAGTTCAACGAATCTTGACTTCTTAATTATCAGGTTTAAAACACAGGTATCAACAATTAAATTACATGTTAATTCGTGCACACATAATACCATTTGTTCGCGCAAACGTTATGCCTCTCAAATGAAAATTCGCGCAAATATAGATCGCCAAATATGACAATTAGTAAAGAAAAGAGGTGATTAAAATATTTTTACTTTTTAGAATTCAAATAATTAGTTTCAATAGCACTGACGAAGAGAAAATTGTAGTTTTCGCATGGACTTATCCAACAAGAATGCACACACATACTTTAGTTATCTAATAGTTATAATATTATCAGTAAAATATATATTATGCATTCAAAATATTAAAAATACAGAATTTCTTGAAAAAGAAAGTAAACATAATTGCTGCAAGGCAACCTCTAAGCATATTTACTTAAGACGTTAAGACATTTAAGACTGTGGTAAGATCAATGATTAAAATGACAATTTTAGTTTCCTGGTGAATCAAAATAGTATAAAGAGAATATATACACCTGTGTTGGGCGTGTATTGATAACTGAGTTGGGCATGTCTGTATGTATGTATTCTACCTGTAAACAGAAAATGTGTAATATATTATTATAAACAGTCATTATGACAATCATCTTATTTGAGATACTTTTTAAAAATAATTAACTATTGTACTATTTATACTATCTGCTTAACCTTCCAGTGCACTGGAAATCAACCCGTTTTTTTTTTTTTTTTTTTATTTTGTTTAGCTTAGTCTTTAGTTTTCTATGTTGTTGTTTGTATTTTGTCGATTGTAGTTTGTTTTTTCGTCGTTTTTAATTTATTGCCATGGCTCTGTCAGTTTATTATGAGTTAGAATATTTCGTTGTTATCTTTCGCCTCTCTTTTCCAAAGTTAATCAGTGTACAAGTGCACGTACTGGTGTGTCCTCATGAAAACACATTTTTTTTTATGGATATTCAGTATATTGATATAGAAGATGTTAGACTGGGACCATTATTGCATAAATTCTGCGTACAAGTTCTAATATAAAAGATGTAAACATAATGCAGCGTTCACTGGTATGGTCCGGAGAGATTGGCTAAGCACACCCGACATTTAGGTGCGTTCCGTTACACTCATAAAAATGTCGATTCAGATTCAATCGTGATTATGTTGTAACATATTCAGCTGTATCGGATCACAAACGTAAGAAAGTCCTGTCCCCGTCGGAACGGGATCGTAACTGTTTCGTCCGAAACGGGGATGATCAGGAGAAATTTTCGTTCGTTATATGCCGATTGAGTCCAGATTGCGTCCGGATCTTGCTGAATGTCTCCCGTCTGTGTCGATTCAATCTCTGGTCACTGTCGGATATCTTTCGGAAGAATTGGGTCGTTGTCGGGACAGATACAGTAATTTGTACCATGCGAGAGATAAAAATCCACAAGTTTTAACATTTGTTAATTCCCAGGCACGAATCAGAGAATTAAAGTCCCTCCTTTAATGTTTAGATGATTCAGCAATTTCAACATTGTGTGCATATTATTAAGTTATAGATTGAGAAAATATTCTTTGTCTTATGTTGTTTGTATATTTACTAGTGCACGTACAAAGTTTGTAGTTTTAACTAATTAATGTTTACATATGATGTCAATCACTAGGTTGTGTAGGAAGTTTAAATTGTCAGACAGAAAAACAAGAATCTCTTTTGTTATTATATCATTCGGATTTCTTTTTTTTTTATATTACTATACACAATGTCATTAACAAAACATTAGGTTTTGTATTATTACATCAATACTGGACTTATTCAAAGGCGCCTTAAAAGACCGAAGGCTTATTCAACAAATTTGTTTTTTGTATGATTATATTTTAATTAGGATTGTTTCACATTAACACTGATTGTTTAATTTAATCCAAATGCACACACGCAGATACATATTACATAGAAATGGAAAGTTCACAATAGGGAAGCTGTAAACATCTCTTTTGTAGTAAAGTTTTGTTCACAACCGACACTT